ATTATGTAAAAAAAAGTTCCGTACACGACACGACTTCGTTATTGTTAGGTATGAAAAATACTACGCGCATACACATTTCACATATTTGAATTGTATTCACGCGTTACTATTATTTGTTTAAAATATATTTTTTTTTTTTTTTTTTTTTTTAAAGAACTGATGTTTTTTGAACCATCGAAAGATCTAATTTTAGAGAAAAAAAATACACTATTGTTACTCGTTTCGCATTCACAGGAGTCAAATGACATAATATTGTTTTGTTTTTTTTTTAACGTTTTTTGTCATCAATAATATATTCGTCGAGTTTATTGTGTGCTGAAATTCGTCCAAATATAGTTCCAAGACAGATGGTAAATCGCATTATTATCACCCTATAGTTAAAGGAACACATTTAAAATGAAGTCGTATCGAAAAAAGAAATAAAAACCCGCGTAAATCGAAAATGTATTTATTGTTACGAGACGCGAACAAAATACTATTAAAAAAAAAAAAAAAATAAAATAAAATAATACGTAGTATTTGTTATTTATAGTGTCGTTAATCAAATAACTGACGGGACACCGCGTCCATATCCGTCCATACATACCCGTCTACGTTTTAACCGTCGATTTTTTTTTTTTTAATTTTTTTTTGGATATTTCAATTCGATAAATCAAATTAACCATCTAATTCGACTAAAACCGTATATAGACACCGGACGATTTATGCGTATTGTTATTTTATAAATACACATCCGGTACAAATCCGGTCCGATATTATATCGTCCGTATAATATTCTTCTTATAATAATTTGTATTGTAGCCGGAATCTATTCGTGGTTCTCGTTTCTGCTTGCGGTATACAATACCGCCACGAGTATTTCATTCATAAAACGCCATGTCCCCGCGAAAATCAATTTTTCAGCTACCTAAACGAATTTGATGTTTACTGAAAAACGTTATTTTAAGCAAAAATCTAATTTATTTCTTTTTGTCCCCAAAATTACTATAATTTTCTCATATTTTCGCTCTTTATTTTTTATCTTTTGAAAGGTCCATTCTAACTGTTTAAGAAAAAAATCTTTGTCTTTCGTTTATATCTCAATTATGTTGGGTCGACCACTCTCGTCTAAAACTTCAATTTGACTCGATCTCCCACTTTGCAAAATGTGCATACACCGGCTGTTTTCATATAATTCTTAATCTCATTTAACCATCTCTATTTCGGTCTTCTTCTCCCCTATATTTTTGTTTGCGTTTATTTCCATTACAATTCTTGCTGCTTAAAAATATTCTTCTCTCCCCATGACATGACCAAAACATCTCAGTTTATTTTATCTCATTTTGTTTACTATAAAAGCCATAACTAAATTACGTTATATGTACTCATTCCTTATTCTACCTTTTCTCATCAGTCCTGTCGTATACGCAAAGTTTTCCGTTGACCGCACATGACAGTAATTATTTGAACGAACCCCAGAACCTTCGTTAATCAGCTTTACTAAGCAACAGTCAAGGGAATATTACGTCCTTGTCCGTCGCGGCGTTCCAACACAGATTACCTACTCTTGATTTTTGAACTCTGAACTAAATGACCGCGATAGCGAGTATTGTTTAGTTAAGGTGGGCTGTACTACTTTGTTGTATACGCCACGCAAAGGCTTCACGCATGCAACAGATATTTTCGGTTTTCAAAATCCCCAGACCGTCAAACGAGTAAATATCGATATCTGTTATAAAGAAATTAAACAACTCAATCTTTCGATAACCATAATAAAGAGTACTGCATAAAAGAATGGTTGATTATGAAACCCTCAGGATTTATAAGATCTAAATCTAAAGTCGCTTTACACTCGAAACAATACTGACTACGATAACGAGTGCTGGACAACACTGTCCTGTTGTCCTGAAAAAAATGGTTTATTACCACAAACGGTTAAGTAAGCCATTAAAATATTAAAATATATTAGAAGTAAAATAAACCGGGAAATCGTGTTTATGCTTGAACGCATGAAAATAATTAAACACAAACGAGTTTTCCAAAATATAACACGATACTTCAGCTGAACTGGCTGGGTTCGTTCTCAGGGCCTTCCACCCGAAGTCCCGGAGAAAAATGAATTTCACAATCAATAGCATCTTAATAATCTTTTTAATAATTTTTATAAAATAAACGCATCAGCTCGCGACAGTAGCGTGTTGCGTCTGTTACGGTCGGCGACCGCGTAACATATTTTGCTGAATATACGTACGTATTATACTTTAACATAACAATAATAAGGACGGCGACAGTGACGATCGTGTAAAACAATATTATAATATTATATTTGGGTACATTACACTACACTGATCCACCTAAATATTCTCATCTCTGTTACACTCATTCTACCTGTATGTTATATTTTTCTGTCTATCGACCAGTTGGTCAGTCTCACAACACTTTTGTAGAACTTACTTTTAAATATCATTGAAATTCTTTTGTCACATCAGAAACTTGACGCTTCTCTCCACTTTATCCAATCAAACTTAATTGTGTGTTTCACATGCTTGGCAAAACCACCGTTCTTTTATACAAAAATCTTAGGTACTTAAATCTTTCAACTTCGTCTATGACGCCATCGTTTATGTACGTCAGTTATCTTAGCCTTTTCGCCAAACTTATACTTTGTTTTACTTTTACTTATCCTTAGTCCCTTGCCTTCAATAATTGCTACATTCTATTTCTCAAGCCTAATTCTAATTTCTTCCAGTTTTAGTTCTGTTAAAACTATGCCATCTGCAGCCGTCGTATACCATGGTACCTACTCTTACTGGTTTTTTTTTTTTGTAAAATATGAATTCGGAAAAACTCATTGAAATTGTTCTTAATCTTCCAAGTCTAAACGAATCGAATGATTTTAAACATAGAAATGTGACCCATAAAGGGGTATGACATGCACGTGGTTTTAATGCTTAATCACAACTGATGAACAGTCAACATGTCTTCATGTAAACAAGCATTAACTACAGTCGACGGAGACGGACTGCCGGGCTACTTGGACGTGCGGAAAATTAATCCGAATCGACCCGGAGCAATGGGAATGAACCATTATTATGTATTTTTTACATGCATGTAAATCAGCACGTTTTGTTTTTTCGCTTTTGGAGTACCTACTTTCGACCCGGTTACCGAGACATGACCTAAAGAAACGTTTCCTCAAAACCATTTCTGTCATCATCAGCTTATACAACATTTCAGATTCTGAGAGCAACGATATTTTTTTTTTTGTATCTATAAATCATTTTTCTACCAGAAGTCTCTAGTGCCAATCTAAACCGTTTAGACACTTTCTTGTCGAAGTTTTTATCCAATTGGGGTTTTTAGGAGATCATTTCTTTATTTTACTTCTAGCTTTTGGGAAAAACTGAGAACTTTTTAAAATATTTTTTTTTGATTTCTGGATTTCCTTGGCAACAATGGGAAAAATATGTTAAATATAGGTACTGTCAGCGGAATCGTACTCCGTTTATCGTTTCTTACAGATGTCAATTAATAAATTACGCTGTACATACAAATCTCTTCCAACTTCCCTTCTAAAACTTCCTTCTCCACTTCTATCAGCAGTAAGGCCTTTCTTTTTCGTTTTGTGAATAGTGAAAAAAAAAAAATGTTGTTTTATTATTCGAGCACGCTGCCACCGCTGTGGCTGATACCGTCGTCCTACGATGCATTTTGCTTTATCTCTGTTTCGTATGATAATAACTGCGGTCCGATCCGATGAGGAATAAAGATGAAAATATCCGTATGGCTCGTCAAGTTTTTCCGAGCTTACTGAGTTCGTTACACCGCGCCTTATTGTATTTGTGTTTACTTTGAATTTTAAATCAGTCTTTTTACTGTCCAAGACGGGGTCTTTTGACCTTTATATAACGAAGGCCACTAAAAAAGGCAGTTGACGTATTATAGCCTTTATATCAGTTGGCACTTGTGTAAAAACAATAGAAAGTATTATACTTACGCCTACTAGGGCCAATATTTTTAACCGCACTGTATGCATAGGTATTATTTTGTTGTACTTACCTACGTTTTTTAATATAAACGTATTCCTGACGAATTTCATAAAAAAATCCAACTTTCAATAAGTATACCTTACTTAGAGTGATAATTTAGAGTTTATTTTTTTTTTACTCGCTGGGACGTTTTATAATATTTCCGTATTGATAATCTTAAACGAGTATTTACCTACTATACAAATCTCGGAATTCCGTGGTTAGTAATATTACCTTCTGGGAATATACGGCTTTCTGATTTTATTACATGTTTTGTCTTATAATATGAGGAGCGAGATATTTTTTTTTTTATTCTTGAACCAGCGATTTTGTTTACGAGCATTTTGAGTGAAATTGATTTTGGTTTTATCAACCATTAGGGAATCAAAAGTGATCCCAAGAGGTGATAACGGGGATAACAATATATTCTGTATATGAACTGCGTTAGTGCCAATATAAAGATGTGCCTTTTGGGAGTTGAAACTTTTAATCGCCCTGTGCTCCAACCATATTTACGTTTAAATTTCATCAAAAATATTTCAAAAAACGCACCACCGGCCCAAATTCCACGTCTTAATCAATTCCAATTTTACTAGCTACATACGAAAAAGCTGCAGCTTCGGAATCTAAAACGAAAACAAAATTCGAATAAACTATAATATCCTTATGCGTAAGAATTATATTAGTTTAACAAATAGTCCGGAAAACAAGGGGCGAGATTAATAAAACCCATTAAACGAGAAGGTCACGATTGCTACGAACAATTAATTTGTATGGTTTTTCGAAAATATAAAAAAATAAAAAATAATCTCACTTTATTTGTCGAAAATATATGTTTCGGTTTCCGAGACCTTCCCCTATAATCCTGACTCTGACCTTTTTTTTTTTATTTTTAGTATTACGTATTTTATACTGTAATACATGATGGAACAAACCCAGGAAATGATCATACAAATTATGTAGGTATACAAAATATTTGCACTGTTATCGAGTATGGCGGGCGGGTCCGAGCAACTAATTTTATTAGGCAACGGGTTTATTTTATCAGTGGCCGAAAACACCACTTTGGTATGTGCCGCCCTTAATATGTCATCTGTCTGCATCTGTATTGTCACTAGTATGCAGTTACGGTTGTCGATCTGGTCGTCAAGGTAATATATATATATATATATATATATACATTATACATGTATTAAAATAGTAATAGTAATAGTAATAGTAGTAGGAAATATCAAATTATCACAAGTTTAATATAAATGAAATATATGTTAGATATATGAATACTCAACGTAAATTGACCTCAACCCGAGGTTTTAAAAATCATTAATAATCTCTAAGATAAAACTGCAGCTGGATTTGACAAACTATCAGTTAAACATTTAAAAAAAATAGCTCCTTGTATTGTAGACCCTCTTATCTATATATTAAACGTATGCCTAAAACTAGGAGTTTTTCCAGATAAATTTAAATTCGCAAATGTCAAACCACTTTTTAAAACTGGTAATAAAGAAAATGTGACGAACTATAGATTGATATCAATGCTTTGAAATGTCTTTAAAATAATTAGAGTTAGACTAATATGATTTTTAGAAACGAATGAATTATTATCAAAAAATCAAGTTGGCTTTCAGCCTGGTAGAAGTACGGCTGGAGCGCTATACGCGACGACCAAATTTTTATACACCGAATTAGACAACAATAAAAAAGTAATTGCAGTTTTCTTAGATCTGGCAAAGTATTTGACACTGTTGATTACGATGTACATCTGAAAATGTTGCCAAGTTTTGGAATAACAAACGAAAGTTTTATGTGGTTCAAAAGTTACCTTAATAATAGAAAACAAGTAGTCTCGATAAACGGCGTTCATAGTGAAGAGGGTGTAATCAATTTCAGGGAACCTCAAGGTGGTGTTTTAGGACCATTATTATTAGTTTTATGTATAAATAACATTTGTAACTTATGTTATAGATAGCCAAATTATATCTTATGCAAATGACACCTGTTTTTTTTTCAAGTAACTCACGAGAAAATGTCCATCAGAAAACGACTGTAGGAGTAAATAACATTTTCAAAGAACTAAATTTTAACAAACTAACCTTGAATATAAGAAAACGTGTTTTCATTGCTTTTTATATTTGCTATAAGTACATACCTTTTGATGATATCGTTATTCACTCTTGTGATATACAAGACTTAAATTTAAATTTATAATTTAATATGTATATATATGTACTGCCATAGAATAAAAAAGGGTAACGAAAGTGAAATATTTAGGACTAATTATTGATTGGAATCTTAGGTGGAAAATACATATCGGTAACTTGGTTACGAGATTATTATCTATTATCCTCAAACCCTTCAAATTAAATAAACTCATATCTACGGAAATTGTGTACACTGTATGTAATGCTCTTTACAAGTCGATCTTTCAATACGGTTTATTAGTATGGGGTGGCTCTTCTGAAAGTACTTAATAATCCTTATAACTCAGAATCGTTTTTTGTGAACAACGGTTCATATTTTTGTACAGATTGTATACATTAAATTGCCTTATAATATATCTTATACGTTCCAAACTTCGTGTTTACAACACGAGTGGCACATTCATGATGGTATGTCGGCTATTTTAATTTTTTTTTTTGGCATTATGTTACCGAGATATTCGTGAAAAGCCCGTCACGTTGACGGCGGCCAAAAACTCGTGTATAGAATTATGTTATTAATGAGAACGGTTATAATACGATACTCTCCGTCGGTATAGTGTTGCAGATCCGCGGGCGTATATTATATAAAATATTTAAAAAAAACAAACATCTGAAATAATTATATGTCATTAAACAATTCATAATATCGAAAGAACAGTGATAATTAAACGCTACGTAAAAAAATTACGTTGCGTTATAAAATATTTTATATAATTTTTCGAATTTTATGAACACTAATTTTCTTTTGTTGGTAAAAAAAAAAAAAGTATTTTTACAGATTTTGCATTATATTTGCACTAGCGGCGAAGAAATCGAATTTAAAAAAAATCAAGAACTTTCAAAACCTTTCAGGAAAATATACAAGTAGGTATTTGATCATATTAATTTTAGATTCTGGGATGTGCGTGTTATTGTTTTTTTTTCTCTCGGAAATCAATTTTCGGCGGGTACAAAATGATTTGATTTTTGCACGTTTTTACCTTAAAAAATGCAGATTTTAGGCTTGATGTTACTTAGACAATTTTTCGAAATTTCCTCTACTTTTTCCAAAAATATTGTTTTTTTATGGTTTGGTTTAAAAACATTTACTTTATTTGATTAAACATGTCTTCTAAACATTTCAATAAGTAACTCATAAGCACCTTTTTCATTGTTTGATTTTTATTGATTTCTGAGTTAAATTATGGGTATAGATGCGCTACGTTTATTATTGTTATTATAACTATTATCTGCCTATTTAAGTTCAAAATGTTGAGATCAATTATCTCAAACGTATAGAATTAATACAAATGTACAACAGATAATATTATTAAAAACTAACAGCGATCGTTATTATTTCTCTAATCGCCCACTGCGCTGACATTTTCTCCTGCGCCCGTCCTCGACTGATATGTTTAATCGTGAATTATCGTAATTGTTACGATAAGTTCGATACGTACGATAACGACGCTAAAGTATTGCAATAATAATAATAATAATAATATTATTATAAGTACATTATAGTTACAAGTATATTATCTATAATATCGTACTAATGGTATACAATTATTATAATTATGCGCAGTACAATATTAAAAATAATGATAATAGTAGATTTAAGCACATATTAAAAAACCGGTGACGAATGTTTTCGTGTCATTTGAAACACACGGGTCCGACTTCAAATCCGAACGCTTGGTGCGGCAATCCGTAGTCGACTGGATAGAAGTCGGTCAGCGGCAGGCTGTTCAGCTTATTGGTGCGGATTTCGAATACGGTCTCGCTTTTCGATTTTCTCGTCTGCGGGAAAACATCAATGTATATATATATTTACGAAATAATAATAATATTAAAACAAAACGCGCCATAATATGATAAAGATTAACTTCTATTGTTGTGTACAACAATATAATATAAATATTATATTGGCTAAAAATCTGAGGGAATTTTAATAAATCGTATACTATAATAATATAGAACTACGAAAATGATTTATAATTATTGATGATTTTTTGTGAGTTTTGTCAAAATATGAAATTTAAAGTCTTCGTTAGAGAAAAAAAAAAATTGAGGGACATAATGTACAATTATTTTTTTTTCCGACCGGTAAGGACGACATTACATGCTGTTTGCGTCGAATTTTCCATAGTTTATACGCGTCGTCAAAAAATGTCATTTACACGAATCGGAAAAAGATCCCTAAAAAAGCCATGACGATTTAAAATAGTTTAAGATTTTAAATTAATTATGAAGAAAAAGTCGAAATCATTTCAGAAAAAGTGCTATCATTGTAAACCGGAACAAAATTGCTGGCAAAAAAGTTGTTCACAGGACAAAAAAAATAATAAAATAAACTAATTCTCCACTCAGAATCTAAAAGTGACGTTATCGTCAACGCAGCAATTATAATATAGTATATTATTTGAAATGTTACGATTTCAGTTAAACGGAAAAAGCTGAACAACAAAGTTCCGCGTAAACGGCTGTTATCTCTTTATTCCTAATCGGTATTAATATTATTACAGAGAGCTCGGGCCGAGTTAACGGAACTCTCGAGGGCGTAGAAATAATCCGATAACAATAGGGAAACTTGTGGGAAGAGGAAGCGCGTAGGATCGGACACACCGCGCCTTGTCGGCAAACACTGCAACTGCAGCGAATAAGATTGAAGAATCCGAGACAGACATATTACACAGGACATGATTACAGGACCGAAACGGCTGGCAGAATCAGGATAATTAATTATAGTTTATACCTACGAGTAAAGTCCTAAATATTCGTAATTCGATATCCCCACTAAATAACAAATTTTACAGTGAATTTTACTTAAATATTTCCCTCTCCCCTCATTTATTTTTAAATCACTAAGTAAATAAATATGAATCATACGTATATATTATTAAGATCGTGTGTACTGTTTCTGTCTTACAATCGCACGAAGTATACAATTTTTGTTTAGCAACATCAATTTTGTGATGTAGGTTTTGATATCGATCAGTAATAATAACCGAGCAGTATATACCAGTAAATATCTTCTACCAAACATAATATTATGTGTGTTTGTACGACGGGTTTTTTTATTGATTTAATTTTTAGTTGATATATGATTGGGGGGGAGGGGTTATAATATAATTTCAGTGGAGGTTTCAGGGGTTCTGAAAAATCATATGTATTTAAAAGGTTTCTCTATTAATAGATGCCCCTTTTTTTGATGACATTTTATTGAAACTATATCGGTGTCTGGGAGGGGGTTTAGACACCCTAGACTCCACCGTAAATCCACCACTAACTGCCACGGTACCTTTACCTACCGTAATAGGCGACAAATGTGGTTGCGTCAAGATGACGTTTTGTGTGAAATTTTGTCAAACTGGACAAGGCGTTCTAAACAAGATTTAGGCCGTTTCTGACCTACCACAAAATAGTAGGGATGAATGCGATTGAAAATGCTCAGTATCGGGCCCAGGTATTTTTAATCAGACGAAATATAATAAACAAAACCACGGTTAGTGAAGAAATTGATGTTTTCTTCTGTTATATTTACAATGAGAATTTTAAAGCCGGAATCGAAAAAGTCAACTTTTACTGCTACCGACTAGACGCGAGCACATACTGTTTGCTATTTCGTTACATTTTGATAAACCGCCTTTATAATAATGTGACTTCGAGGATGTAGGTACTAATTTTAAACGAAATTCTTATTTTATTCAGTTATAAATCTACATATATATATACATAGTTATTCTATGGGCTTTTAAATTAAATTTATTTTTGTTCAAATATTATAATTTTTAAGAAAACAACAATTACATGTTCGCCCACTAAGTGCACAAAGTAATTATTACAAATTTTCGTATCAATAAATCTTCGTACTATTTGAGCTCTTTTAAACAAAATGACGTAAGCGACATTTTGAAAATATCGTTCAGGAAAACACAGATGAAACAAAAAACCTTTTAAATATTCAATTATTCGTATATTTCCATCGGAAATACGTTATTATAGTATGCAAATCTAATTTGGTTTTAATATTAAATTTTTTATGGAGCTATTATACAAAAAATTAAATATTATTATACTAATATAAATAACTTTTAATACAGATTGTTATAAAATTGGATGTTTGATAATAAGTGGTCGGAGACTACATAATACATCATAATATTATTGATACAACATTTAAATAATATAAAAATTAGATAATAATTTTTGATATGGAGTGAACACCGATATTGTCGTTTACACATCTCAACTATAACATTTAAGATCATTATTATGGCAGAGGGCCAAAAGACTTGTAAAATTTACATATTTCTTTTACACAGTTGAAAACAATAACCAAGTAAAAAAATAAATACGGTTTGTGTTTAGACAAAGCTATATTTCTAATTTTATTTTGCATATAAATGAATATTTCAAGTTTTTTCTGTTTTTAGGGAATATTTCATTCATTTTATACATTTTGGGAAATATTCTCAATATTTTCTCGATCAATGTTTTTATTTTACGTAATGATACAACAAAAATTGTTGAATTTAAATGAACATTTAATTATTGTCACACATGGTTGTTGGTTGCTCGCGAATGCACGGTTTTTTTAGAAACGCTTCTAGAAACGACCGCTGATCAGATTAATAGAATAAACGTTTTTGTATCATAAAATTTCCAAAAGGACGATGTTCCATAAATGATAGCAAAATATTAATATTTATTAATTAATAAATTCATTATATTGTTCTATAAAATAATAAATAATAAAATAATCAATATAAATTATAATGTACCTATT